GTCACCTGCAATTCCTCCCTGCACCCATTTCCCTCCTTTCCAGAGGAAGGCTACCTCTGCAGGTATTTATTGGGCACTTTGACTTCTTCTTTAAACAACTTGTTTCTTTTTGTGACCTAATCACCAAGTCCTACAAATTCCGGATACTGGTAGCTTTCAGGTCATGTTCACTGCAAGAAAGCACCATTGTTTCCTTTTGATGTACAGCTTTTATGTAGAATTGATCCTTTTCTTCTGTGGGGTCTAGCCCCGCTCCCTTGATGGAAGATCCTTTTTGCTCTTGATATTCTATACTCTCATTTTCCTGTTTGAAAACAAAGGCTGTGACTTAACAGCTTAAATAATTTTGCATAGTTTTCAAAAATCCTAATCATAGAACAGACTTAAACAGAAAATAACACTAAGTCTGATATTGTCAACTATTTATAATATGTATTACTCTTAGACATTCTAATACTAGATTTTTTTGTTTCATTAGTTTGTTTTTTTTTTACTTAAACATTTCTTGTATCCTTTTCAAGTACTGCAAAACATTTTACAGATAGAGTAACTATTCATTTCTTTGACATTTAAGCTCTTTCCAAATTTAAAGAAAATGCTCTAACAGTTACCTTCCCTTTGGATTCTTTGTTTGTTTGTGATATGTGTAGTATTTGGGTGTTTACATGTGTGCTTGGATATGGAGACCATAGGCTAATGTGCGCTGCTGTCTTCTATTGGGTACTTACTAATAGGGTCAGTCTGGCTTGCTAATAAACTGCCAGTCTCTTCCCTACCGTACCATTGCTGGGGTTACAAACATATGACACTGTACTTGGTTGGCTCTTTACATGAGCACCAGGGACCCAAATCTTTGCATAACACTCTTCCTGGAGAGACATGAGCAAATGTCTACTAATCCAAGATATGGAAGCCCAAAGGAATTTAACTTGGTGAACCAATGAGTTTTATTGGCATTACTTACAGAAGCAGAAATGACTCAAAGACAGTTGTATCACCAAAAGCCCATGCCAGCATGGATGACAGCTCATGAAATCTGGAACCTGCAGTTTATTATAGAACCAACAAACAGCTCAACAGACTGGAGCGTCCTTTCCAGGTCGTTCAGTAGGCCTGAGCCTCTTCAGACAGCTCTGTTGGTCTGTCTTTCCCAGGAGGTTCAGCCGGTCTTCTAGACAGCTCAGCTTGTCTCAGAGTCTACTATATCTGGTCAGTTTTAAGAACTTAAGGCCTTTTGAGTTGTATACTTCCTGAGCTTAAGGAATTTCCCAGCAGGATGGATGGTGTCACCTCCCCTTAAAATATCCTCTTGTTTAATCTCCTCTATAACATCTTGTGTCAAAACAGTTTCCTTCCAAGACGGAAGGCTTTATTTAATCTTAGACGGATCTGCTATACAACAGAAACTTGGATTTCCATGCTTTATAGGGACTAACTCAGCTGTCTTTCTGGCTCCTTGAGTTCATCTCTTCGTTCATGATCATCAGGTAGTATTTCTGGGTTCAAACCTATAGAATATTGTGAATTTAATTTGACCACTATCTTACATTTAAAAGATTATATCAATGGTATGGGTTAACCAAAACTAAAGATATGTAAGAAAACAAAGCAGGCCACTGATTTGTAAGGTAATTATAATCAAAGAAAAAAGTCTACACGGAAGTACCCTACATACTGGCGGACAATGGCTATTAAATGAAGACATGCCATTTCTCTTGGTTTCCCACCATTGCTGGATGGGAGGTCCCTACTGTTGATGGCAGAACACATTTTGGTTGCAAGACATAGAGAAATCAATCTGGAACTGACTTGCAAACATCCTCCTTACTGGATAGCTTTCACAGTGCCAGAGGTGCTATGCATATCACTGTGGAGAAGAGTCATTAACAGACTTACCTAGTGGTGGGCCTTGCACATTACAGTATCACTCTACTAGTACAACAGCAGCATGGCTGTGACAGCGGTAACCAACTGTCAGCAAAGAGACCCATAACTGATCAAGATGCAGAAAAACAAGAGGCTCTGCATGTTCATACCAACACCCCTGTCTAAGGCTCAGGAAGGAATGAGGAAGAAGTCGTGGAAAGAATGTAAGGTCTGAAGGATGGGGAGGAGCGCTGTATACAGAGTGCCGCCTTCTTCTTTTTTTTTTTTTTTTTTTTTTTTGAGTGCCGCCTTCTAAACAGAACATGGCCATTGCACTCACAAGCCCACAGCAGCTATGGTCATCTGCAGATCAAACCAGCACAGAAGGAAGAGAGGCTCACAGGCTGTACCCATAGCTGAAGAGCTATTGGCAGCCAAAGGCTGCCACGCATGTGTGCTCGCATGCGCACGCAGGTGTGGCCACCAGCAGGTTGCCCATACTCCAGTGGATGGCCTACACCATTCCAGTGGGTTAATGAGAAAGAAAGAAGATATGAAGGCGGTAGAGGGAGTAGTGGGCGGGATTTGGATCTGCTATGATTAAGACACACTGTAAACACATAGGATATTGTCAAGTAAAAGACACAAAAATATTCTTAAAAAAAGATATTAATTTACAAGGCAGGGCAGAAAATACTTTTTCTTTGACCCTGCTGAGATGATAGGAAAGGCATTTTAATTCTCATTTTTGTAAAGTTTACTTTCTAACTTATCAATTTTCATTTCAAGTAATATTCATTCTCAATTCATTATCTCTGAGCTCTTAACAGTAGCTATTATGCCTATTAATTTTTTTTTTTTTGTAGAAAGCAGCCTATTCTTGTTCTGTCACTGCAATATCCCTTGGAATCTCACTGAAGATGAAAAACAGAAAATTTAAATGTTTCAGACCTTACATAATCTTCCACCTGCTCCCATCTCTATGAAACACAAAGGAGTTTTCAATATACCGATTTTCTGTCTGCTTGAACAGAACTTTGCTGAGAGTGTGATGTGCACAGAATAATTCAGTCTCTACTTTGATCTAATTTTCTTTTAAAGTCTGAGTTCCAGCTCTGCTGCTTAAAACCTATTTCCGCCCTTTGGACTTATCTGTCTGGCTCCTTTCTCTGAGGCCTGTATCAGCTCATGCTCCCAGGAGCTTTCCGCCTTTGGGGTCTCTTGTACACACACTACCTTATGCATCTCCTGGGGAGCCACTTGAGGCCTCATGGGAGGGCATTGAGACCTTTACAGCAATCGATATTTCTTAAAGCATATTTAATATAACCTAGTTAGATTGATGGGTAATGAAAACATATTTAGAATTATATAGGGGCTGGGGAGGATGGCTCAGCAGTACAGCATTTGCCCAGCATTCACAGGGCCATAGGTTCCACCTCCAGAACCACAGAGCAAAAACTTCCTCCCAACTACCCTTCTCTAAAGAAATAACTACTCATGAAACACATAATTTTAGGAGAAAAGCAGTAGAACTTGAAGCCAAGCAGAAAGCATCTGTTAGTCTTTTTTTTCATACACTTCAAACTTATACTTGATGCCTCTTTCCTCCTGGATCTCAGAGAGGACACCTGGGTACCTGAAAATGGAAAAGATTGATGATTCGATTCAGTATCCACTGATAACACAGCATTGGCCCTCCTGACTTTCACCCTAGGGCATAAACACTGTGGTTCCCGCCTTCACAGTGGCAGGCTCCTCCTAACATCATATCCACAGCACATGGCAATAGAAGAAAACCAACAAACTATGTAAAGCTAGAAAACGCAAAGTCCTATACCTTCTCCTTTATTTCTGATACATATTTTTTTTCCTCAAAAATGACCCCTAGTTTCTATTTCTTTGTATCTTTCCACTCTACCAATGAACTACTAGGCAATTTCTTAGGAACCTTTTGCAAGTTATGGTTGAAATTACATTTCTAAGGAAAGAAAAACAAATTATCTGTAGCTGCTAAAAACTGAAGTTGTATGCCTGGTTTCTGTGGCTCTCCTAACCTGGCAACACGTGGCATTCTGTGACTGCTTCACTAGAACCGCAGTACACCTGATCTCTCCATCCCTGAACTCTCACTTAGGTCTCTGCTTGGACCCTCTGGACACCTAGCCTCCCAGTGAGCATCCCCACATCCCTCCGATGTTGATAATGCCTCACTATTGTACAGGCTTCAGCCAGTGTTACAACAGAGGGGGCCAGGAGCTGCTATTTTCATCCTTGGTTCTCTGTGTACACCAGCTTGGCAATCAAGGCAATCAAGCCTTCTTCAGAGTACAATGTTTGACATGGTAAGTATTACACAAATAGTTCCTTCTATGTTAGGTATTACTCCAAACTCACTGTTGGCAAGGATGCCTCAGAAAACTTTAAAATGGCTTGTGATACATAATGCACTGATGAGAATAACAGACACTAGTTATAATACGGAAAAATTCATGTCAAAATAAGAAGCTCTTCTATTTGCCAACCATTTTCTAGCCTCTCACTGTTCACTGTTTGTAGTACTCCTGCCTTTTAAAACTGATTTTCCTAGGCCAGTTTTCAACTATTATGAATTTTTCAGAATGAGGCAAGAAAGTTCACATTTGCACATTTTTTTTTGTGTGTAAATTCAGCATAAAGACTGTCAATCATTAAGAGGAAGCAGAGCACCGAGAGGTTCTTTCTCAAGCCAAGAGTCATATAATCCGATAAGGGACCTGCTGAATATGCTTAGTAGCCATGGTATTAATGGCCAGTAGGCTGTGAAACTAAAATTGAACTGTCTTTAAATTCAGTTTCTTTTCCTCTGTTATCTTTTGGTCTTTTAAGTAATGGTTAATAACTACAATCACGATTCTAAACTTTTTTGGTTTGAGACAGGATCTTATTCTGTAACTTAGGCTGTCTTTGAACTTGCAGGCTCCTGAGTGCTGAGATTACAGTTGTGAATCCCCCACCCCCCCGCCAGCTTAACCCCAAGCAAACACTTCCTGAGAACTATACTTGGACTGTGTGCGTGTGGTCTATGTACATGTTCCTGTGTGTACCCACTGGGAGCCACAGCTATTTTCCAAACTCTATCTGCCAACCATCTGCATTGCAGGTACGTTTAACAACTAAACCATCTTCCTAGGCCAGGACTTGTACTCTAGAGTTCACACAGGAATTGGTGTTCTACCTATTCTTAGGCTCCACCCACACTTCCTCCTATTTAGGATCTTCAAGCATAAACAGCAGCTCTGGAATAACAAAGGACTATAGCAATCCAGAGATGATCCAATAGAAGCTCTCAAAGACAAACAGAATTCTCGAAACAGTTTTCCATAAGAAAACAAACGGCAACTAAAGTAAAATGGGTACTGCAGCAGCAGAACAGGCTCTAGTGGAGAATTTGGGCAAGCATGCCACCAACGTGAAAAGTCAAGAGATAGTCCGATCAGAAGACAACGCACCACCATCTAAAATCTACCCCATGGTGTTCCTTGATGAGGACATGGGCCCTGGCTCTGGAATTCTGCCAACTCTGCCGTGGTGTCGGGGGAGCTTATCTAAGGTAGCATGTGTTAAAAGCCTGGTCCTGGTGCTGATGTGGGAGGTGGAGGCCTTTAAGTGGGACCTAGGTTAATGGGACTAGAAGGGACTAGGATATTCCAATCTCTCTCCTGACTCCAAGTGTGATTGCTCCCTCCAGGACTGCTTTTCATGTGAGCCATCTGCAATGAGGTCTTCTTCACCAGCAGCCGTGCTGAGACTACAGCCAGCCTGCCTCAGGAATTCTGTTACAGTAAAAAGAAACATGGACTAGCATAGCTTCCAAAGACTCCCCCAACCTTTTTTTCTGACCTAATTAAACAGATTACTGCTGCTATAAAAATTTTGGGCCTGCTGGTTTGGCTGAGGCCTCATGAAGTTTGAGACAGAAAATTTCATTCCAGGCAAGATCTTTGAGAACAGAGCTGTATGGGATGGGCTGGCATGGTGCTGCTAAGGAACAATCACACGGGCAAGGACTTAAGGGAAAAGAGACTGATGCATGGTAAAACCACCAGTTCATTCATGAACTTCTGATCTTAGCCTCTGGGCATGTAATACTTCATCCATTTTCTAATTCATTCACTACTCACAGTAGTCCTTGCTTTTATCTTTATTTCAGTACAGTAGTGATTGAAGAAAAAACAAACCAAAACACAAAACACTAAGTAGTATGGTGTTAATAACTGTTTGAATGGAAACCTGTATAAACCTAAGAGAAATAGATGCAGCTAATGGAGACAGAGGTGCTCAAAAGGAGTGCTGATGAGCACTCACTCACCCACAGAGCAAACCGTAGGCGCTGTGCCTCGGGTGAGTTTCCAACGCTGTGGAGGTGGACAGGAGGTGCTTGGGGTTTGCTGGCCAGAGCCTCCTGAGTGAATTCCAGGCAAGGAGAGGCCAGTCTCAAAGACGGCAGTTTTTCTGAGGATGACACCTGAGGCTGTCCTCTGACCTCTATGCATCACTCACACACACACACACACACACACACACACACACACACACACACACACAATCTTACACCCCTTAACTCCAAGGTTCATGGATCACTGTGGCAGAGGGGTTAGAAAGATTGTAAGAGGCAGAGGCAGTTACAGAACAGTTAGTTTCTGGACGTAAGAGGGCTGTTGCATATATGAGCTCACTGTCTTGACTGCATGTACTAGACCTGTACAAGATCTAAGCATGGGTAGGACAGGAAGCCAAGAAGCCCCACCCCAACCTAAGGAGCTAGTGACAACTGATGGCCAACGGAGGAGGAGGAGTCATTTTCCTTCAGGGATTTGGCCTCTAAGAGGGCACCCATGAGAGGCAGGTGACCCCAGTCATGCACATCCTGGCTACACTAAGTAGACTCAGTGTGGTAACAAAGCAAAACAAAACATGAAGTTGTGAGGGAATAGTTGTGTGGGGGGATAGCAGAGGAATTAGAAAAGATGAAATGGGGTATGGATTTGATCATTTACTTTTTAAAAACATAAATTAAACACACATGTAAATAAACACACGCATGTAAACTTAATGGGGAACGATGGGAAAATGAAGATGAGTGGAGAATGATTAAAGCTCATTTCTGGACACTAGTGAGCATGAGAAGTTCTCCAGTGTATAGAGGCTCAGAGACAGAGGTCCAGGATTGAGCAATTCTACTACCTTCTAGACAGAGATTGGGCTGGCTACTTTTTATGTCAATTTAATACAAGGCCGGAACATCTGGGAAGGAGGGATCTCAATCAAGAAAATGTTCCCATCAAATTGGCTTGTATTATCTGTATGATAATTGATATGAGTAGACCCAGCCCATTGTAGGTGGTGGTGTTCATGGATAGGTCCTGTGGTGTATAAGAAAGCAGGCTGAAAGCAAGTCAGTAAGCAGCATCAGTTCCTGCCTCCATGTCCAGCCCTGACTTTTTTCCATCATGGACTGTTACCTGGAAGCAGAAGATGAAATCAACTTATTATCCTATGTTGCTTTTGGTCATGAAGTTTTTTAACACAGGGGTAGACACTTATTGTCCGGAGGTTTCCTTTTATCTAGTCTTAAAGGAAGACAGACCTATTTCAGGCCTCTCCCCTGGAAATCCCCTCTCTCCGTGTTAAGGAGCTGTTGTGATGTTAGTGCAGTCAGAGAATAGGTGGCTATCAAATGCCGCAATGAAGCAGGCATTTTGTTTGTGTGGAGTGTCATTTAGAATGTCCCCAGCACAGCAATGGTCTTGTCCTGTCTGCATCTGCTCACCACACACCCCTGTGATGGGAAAGAGCCAGCCCGCGTCCCTCAGCCTTTCAAAGCGCAGGGGCTAGCACTCCCTACTCACCCTGCAGGTCAGCACCGCCTGGCCTTAAGACCAGCTGAACACGCACAGTCATACTACATCAGTGGCTCTTAGGGACACAAATGCAAAAATACTTAATAAAATGGTAGCAAATCGCCTCTACCAACAAATAAAAAATACCACATACAATTACCAAGTAAAATTGACCTTGGATATGCAAGATTAGTTTAATATGAAAACCAATCATGTAATATACAGTGTCAAATGGTTCAGAAAAACCATGTGGCAAAATCCAACAGTCCTTCATAACTAAAGCACTTAATGAACTAAAAATTAAAGGGATCTTCCTCAGTGTAATAGTCACATGCTTTCCTGCTGGGACCATGAACAAGATAAGTGAGATATTTGCTCTAATTTCCTCTTCACCCTGCTGGAGGTTCTGGACCAGATAATTACGCAAGAGAAAGAAATGACAAACATCTGACTAAAACTGCAGAAGTAAAACTGCAGAAGACACTAAACATGTTCTTACTTGCATCTCTATTTCATTATACTACTGCTAAGAATGTACTAACATCTATAACTATTAATTCTAGCTTTAGAGTTACAGGGTACCAGATGAGTATGTTATACAACTATCAACAAATACATACAACTATTAAACTCCAATTACTGAAGTTGCCAGACATTAGATAAAGTAATCTGTAGTTTTATATACTACTATGAGTAGTCTGAAAACAAAACAATAACGTCAAAAGGAATGAAACAACTCGTGGTACAAGACACTGAATGCTGTAAAGCATTACTTACCAGAAGAAAGTAAACATCTACTCAAGTGAAAAACTCCAACATGCTCAAGGTTTAGGACTTCATACTGTTTAGAGACAGTTCTCTTCAGAGAGCTCTATGAACATAATATCAATGAGAATCCCAGCTTGCTTTCTATCAGAACTTTGCATACTGATTAAAACTTATATGGAAATCCAAGGGACCCAGAACAGTAAAAAGCAATCTTGAAACAGACCAAAGTGGAAAGGTTTATGCTTCCTGATTACAAGTTAGAATTCATGATGGCTATATGGAGTAAGCCAAGAGAACTAGCTAAATAATTCTAGCCCCTTAGAAAGCAGGTGGTCACCTTTGGCTAGTTAGTGAGTTCCAGTCCAGCCTGGACCACACGAGACCCAGTCAAAACCAAAACAAGACCATGTAGTAATAGCATAATGATCCACACAGATCAATGGAAAAGAAATGAGAGCCAGAAAAATACTTTCACATTTATAATCAACTGAAATTGTGATGACGTATATGACTAAATGTAAGCAGAGCAGGACCCTGAGCTACTTAGTCTCAGGTGAATGTCATGATATGTGCCTCTGTTAGCAAAGGTGGTGTTTTGCTTTTTAAAAGTCAGGGATGCACAGTGGCATTTACGTTGTCAAGGATCCAAGGGTCAGAGCCTTGGAGAAAAGTTTTGATTAAAACCAGGAAGCAGGCATTTAAACGAAGCTGATTATATAGCACTCTGTTCTATGGCTAGTAGCAAAAAAAAAAAAAAAAAAAAGAAATGAGAAGGAAGAACTGAGATTTATATTCACATAATGTGAGAATTCACAATTTGAGTAGAATAAAAAATACACAGGGTGTGATTTTCACATAAGCATTTTATGAAATGACCAATCACAGTTTTCAGTTTAAGCCATCACGTTAAGAGCCTAAGCAAAGCCTGCACTTTTGGGGACATTGGTTCTTGTGATTTTCGGCTTATTTAGAATTAAGAGCCCAAGGAAATCACTAAATTTAGAATTTATGTGATCAAAGACTGTCATTCCACAGAGTAACAAGACTGTTATTCTAACACTTGACCACCCATTTATCCAGACTAAATTGTTAATGTTTCTTTAGGGGACGTGTAAAAAACAAATTCACACTCAAAGGATAATTACTAGACAGTTGAGACTATCTGAAAACAAGAGTAAGAACTGCTCTCAAAGTATTATCAATCACCTTTGTCTTTTACTTTTGATAGTTAATAGTTTAAAATGCTTTTAACCTAAAATGCTCCAAGGTTTCTAAACCAGGGAGCTTCCTGCTGGAATCACAAGGGTAGCCTTTCTTCTGCATTTTCACCACTGTGGCCACCTTAACTTATGACCTATCATCCTTCACCCAAATCCAGATTCCCTCTGGTTCCCCTCTAGTGCATTAGCCACAGCAGCTGGGACAATGTCCCTGCCTGAAAATCCTCTCAGCCAGTACCTGACCTGACTTAGTTCTTCCTGGCTCAGGAACAGGCCAACTTCATTCTTGCCTCGGGCTCCACACTCCTGTTTCTGGCCCGCTCTTCCTGCTCTTGTGTGGCTGCCTCTTGACATCTTGATCTCAGTGTAGCTGCCTCAGTGTAGTGAGGGTCCCTCACACTGCAGAATCCACCAAGCCACTGTTTCATGCTTGTCACTTGCACCCCTTCCCCCAATCACTTCAAAGATGTTGTCTCCAGGGTAAGCAGCAGTATCAGCAGGCACAATTTTCACAGTGCCTAAGACAGGCCCGGTTCCCCTAGAATGAACTAGTGACGACTGTTAGATGTCACTAAAATCATTAAAGTCCAAATGTTTCCAAGTCTATTAAAATATTTTTCTAAAAGCTCCTATAATGTATCTTTTTTAGGGACACAAACAAACCTCTATTCCAGATAGGGCACTGGCAAAGAATGGTTCTACAAGTCTAGCTTAGTGAACTAGTGAGCTTATTTGCGTGACTTACGGGAATATTTAGTCAGTCACATGACTGAAAGGCAGCCATGAAAAGCTCACACTAGTAGGTGCCAGCATGTAAAATACGCATCCCTGGAGGCCCTGGAGGCCCTGCAGGGCTGGCACGCAGCTCAGTAGGTCAGTCTCTTCTCCCCAGCAGCTGTCATCACTCATGGCCTTGAGGGAGGGCCTTGTTACTTACTCCTAAGCTTGAGGAACTTCCTGTACCTTGTAAACGGAATTTACTTCCTGAGTCTTAAACCTTTTTTTCCTTCCTCTAGGTCATGTTTCAGTTCAGAAGAAACAGCTACGTAACACCAGCTGAAGAAAGTTTCTTAAAGACAAGAAAACTGGAGAGCCCTGTAACTCATCTGTGTGGTTTATGTTAAGATCCTGAGTATAAAATTAAAAAGCATACATCTTGTGAAAAAAGACACTACATTCTTATGCCATAGAACATGGAGAAATCTGGCTGACACTCAATTAGAAACTTCATTCCTGTTGGTTATCATTCACAGTGCTTGAAGGTGATATACATGGTATCAGAAAGCATCAGTATTACCGACCTTGAACTCTGTGAGGTACAATGACAACCCGCCTGCAAGACAGGCCCACTGGTTCAAAGGTGGCACGAATGTTATGGAAGTAACCAACTGTTCAACTGCTTTCTTTCTTTTCTCCCTCCCTTCCTTCGTCCCTCCCTTCGTCCCTCCGTCCCTTCCTTCTTTCCTTGACTCACCAGTGAGATGGTACCTCTACCTGACACTGTCAATGATGCCAAAAATTGAAGCTACATAGATCATGAACCCTAGGGGAAGACCTGCTACTATTATTCTGCTAAATTAACACAGTAAAAAAAAAAAAAAAAAAAAAAAGACTTTCCATAGCATACTGCTATACTCATAGATGCTCAGTTCTCACCAGAGAAGTTTCTTCCTGCAGTTGATGGCAATCAGCACAGAAACCCACAGATAGTCAACATGTAGATAATAAGAGACTTTGGAATACTCAGCCCTAAATGTGATGTCTACATCACACATACTCCTTCCCTTAAGTCTCAGTGATGTACATAGAAAAGGGAGTAGGAAGACTTTAAGAGCCAGAGGTGGTGGGTGATTTCAGTGTTTTCCAGATACAATAGGACACATATACCTCACATGACTGTGACAGTATGCACAAGACCTGCACAAGCTCAAGACAAGCAAAATCCTAGCATGGGGAGTGGGAATTGAGTACAAATCCCACCCTTAACCAAGGAGCTCTTAGCAACTGATAGCTCTGGGAGAGGGGAAGTTAGTTTTCTTCAATAGAGTAGTGTTTCATCAACTGTTCTCCAGGGAAGGACCCATGTTCCAGGGTTCAGCCAGTGCATACTGGACTCACATTCTTTTTATTTTTGTTCTTAAAGAGAGAGAGGACATGATCTGGAAGAAGGCGGGGAAGGGGAATGAATATGATTCAAATACATTGTATGAAAATTTCAAATAAATAAAAACATTTAAAAAATATTTTTCTATATACACATTGCCACTTCAAGTCTGAAAAAAGTTATTCTTCTCTGTACTTTTTTTCCTTTTTTTATTATTAGTTTCTTTTATCTAATAGTTATGGGTTCTGTTGTAATATGTTAAGTTTCATACATATATAATCCCTTGTTTTTCTGTAATTAGTCCCTAAAGTGCTCCTGACTAATTAATAATTTTATACTTACTCTGGGAGAAGTTTATATTTTCCCAAATCAATTTCTGGAAAAAACGTGTCACTTTCAAATTCCTGCATGATCCTTGTCACAAAGAGTCTGAGATGGCCTGGCTGATTCATGGCTTCCTGTAAAACAAAACAGAAGGTGTCACTTTCCTTAATCTGTGTTGAAAGACAAGGAGACTAGAAGATTCTTTTTTCAGTTAAGTTTATACTAAGGATTACATGCATGTTTTCTGTTGCTCAAACTTACTATATATGAAATATTTTGAAAAAATTTGTTCACATTATTTTAAACAATGTATGTATTATAGATCTTTGTGTGTGTTTGTGCAAGTGAGTACAGGTATCTCTGGAGGGCAGAGGAGCAGGAGCTACAGGTCATTGTGAGGCCTCTGAAAATACAGCACGTGCTCTTAACCACCGAGCTATCTCTCCAGCCCCCTCACACTTACTAAACCCTCTACTGGAAGGCCCCCGGTGCCCTGAAAACAGCACTGGTCATAATTAGTAGTTAAGAAAATAAGCTGGCCTCGTTTAAATTCTTTTTAATGTGAGCACTCAGTTAGGCTGTGCTCCTTTGGGGGCTTGTCCCTCGTTACTAGTTGCTCTTCCAGCCATGATTCTGCGTCTGTATGTAAAGCTGAATGAGACTGTCACTGCTGGAATCATGGCAACACTCTCCACCGTTTCTCTACATACCTTATTTGTGTGCTTGTGAGTGCGCAGGCCAGAAGAGGCTACTGAGTCACTCAGAGTTGGAGCCAAAGAAGTTTACAGGATGACCACTTGTTACGTAGGTGCTTGGATCTGAATCTTGGTCTTCACAATTGGACAGCAAGAGCTCTTAACTGCTAAGCTGCGTCTCCTGCCCCATCAGTGCACCTTCACTGCCCTGACCTTACCTAAAGCCCCCATTCCTCTGTGAGCAGCGCAATCATCTTACCTCTTGCCAATAATAGTGCTCAGTCTGTTCTGGTCAATGACTTCTCTAAACACTGTCTAAAATGTACCTTGAAAATTTCTATAAACTAAATTGCCTTGGAAAAAATAGCTTATATTTTTAATGGAAAGGATGACTCCTAAGTGCAGAATCAGGAGAGAATTAATAACTATTAATCCTCAAGCACATAAAGAAAAAAAATTTCATATATACATACAATTTCAAGTTGTTACTCTTAACTTCCAAATATGAGCACAGAACACATTTCCTTCAAGTATTTCAGCTCATGTCAAATCATTCATCATCACCGCTGCAATCAAGTAAGTTCTCTACTAGTTCCCACTGCATCCCAAGCCAGAAAGGCCAACAAGGACTAACCGCGGCTGCGCGTGCAGCTACACACCACAGCAGGGTGTGTGTTTGGTAAAGGGACACATAGGGAATATTTCAGGATTAGAGCGCCGGAAGCGTCTTCCTCTTATAGTAAAAGCAGCTGTGGACGTACAAAAGTGTGCACTGGCATGTTCCACTTCACCAGCTGGCCCAGGAGGCCAGGCCGAAGGCGTTGCAACATGCCTTTACTTCCTTAATGTCTACAGAATACTCTTTAATACGAGACAATGTTACAGAAACAGGAATGGGAGATACAGTGTTTACAATCAGCTTAGGAATCTGCAGTCCTCTCTCAAATCATTTCTTTGTATATATGTTAACATATGCAAAGGGGGAGGACTGATTTTTCTTTCTCATAAATGTTAATCTTTCCAAAGAATACACAAACAAACAAACAGGAAATCATTTGGTAACAAATGACACCAGAAAAAAAAATATTTTCTGCTTTACACAGTATTTTCCCCTACGATATGAAAACATGCCTTCCTCCCATGCTGCCTTTAAGTTACATGGAGGTGGCTGAAGAAGAGTTTCCACTGTTTGCCTGACCTGTGTTCTCAGCACAGCACTTGCCCTGGAGGCAAAGGCACAGCTGGATATCTGGGGCACATCTGGGGAGCAGAAAGCCATACCATATAGGCACTGTGCTCAAGAACTTAGACTGATTTTGAAACTGGAAAGAACTAGTATTCTGAGTTGAAAGTCACTGGCATGTGGGAAGATGTTGGCAAAAGAACACAAGATTCCAATTGCACAAGGATATCTATGGATCTACTAAGCTCATGGTGACTGTGGTTAGGAAAAATGTCTTACTGTGCTTTTGCAATTTCTGGGAGTTGATTTTAAGTGTTCTCATCACAAAAAATAAGACAGTGACATATCTCCATTTAACCACTCTGCAAACGCATGTTTCAGATAATTCGATTATTTTCCAGCTTAAAAATAGATTTAAAAATAAGGCATTGGGACTGGGTGAATTAAGGTAGGGGTGTTTGGGAAGAAGTCAATAGTGGAGGGGTGAATATGACTGAAACACATGACATGTGCTACACCATAATGAAATGTGACTTTATAATAAAGCAAATTCAAAGAGAACAGACTAGTGTAGATGATAAACTTTACATTTACCTTTGTATTTATTTTGCATGACAATGTAATTCACCTTGATACCTGTCTAGACAGGTAAGGATAAGGATAGTGCGGCTTCCAAAGCTTATGGCTGAAAAGTGGGAAGGACATTTCTACCTATTTACAAATAACTACTTACCTTGTAAACAGAACTGCCCCCGACTATCCAAATCATGTCTACTGTATTTGCTAACTCTGGCTGTTCAATAAGTTTTAAAGCATCATCCAGACTTTTAGCAAGAAAATGAGCTCCTTGTGGCGGTTCCCTGAAGTTAAAAAAAAAAAAAAAATTATAGTTTTTATAAAAGCTTGTCCACACTAGTCAAATAATCTGACTGGAAGCAGTCAGTACAAACTATGAAAACTAATTCTTTTAACACAAAATACTTAGGATGTATGTACGGCCAAAGTCCAACATCCATTCTATAGTTTGTGCCTGAATGGCACTGGCAAACACTAACACAAAGCTGTATATGACACCTCACTATATCTAGAGCAGAAGGCAACCTCATCAGTAGCTGCCTCTGCTGTGATGCTGTGAAGGTTGCCTGGGATGGAGAATGAGGGACTCTCAACAAACATGTACCACAACATGCTAGAGTAAGATGGGTTCTAGCCAACAACACACGGGAAGTGTTTGGGGGAAATGTGCTCACTCTAACCTTTAGTTTGAAATGTGCAGACAAACAACAGCAACCAGATGGATGTTGATGGTGACAAAACCCAGCAAGTTAATGGTAGAATCTAGGTGGGGGGGTATGTAGCTGCTTATGCACAGTTCTGTCAGTTTGAAAACTGTCATGGTTAAATAATATTAGAGATCATCCAAATGACTAGAAACATTTGAAGCAGCACTCAGACTGTTAATGTATGTGGGAAAGAACATGCATATTTTGAACAGTACAGAAAGGAGAGAAAGTATTTGAAAAATGAGCTTGTCACCAGTTATATAACTAATACTCAGAAAGGAAAACATTAAGTAAACTCACTGCTTATGTTGACTTGCTCAGATTTCAGGTCTCTGTTTTTTTTTTTTTTTTGATGGTGAGAGGAGTTGCAATTCCCTTTATACATGAAGAAACTTACACAACTAGGCTTTCGTAGTGATACGAAGCAGAACAGAAATGATTAATTCAATGTCAAGTTCTTAGCTGGTGCTTTAAAAGGATTACTTACATAACTGTCTTTGAACTGGTAGTTGTAACAATGATTAATCAAGAACTAAAGGGAACTATTCATTTTCCTAGTGGCATTCTCCTTTTCTTCCTGATTTCTGTTTTACTTTTTCACTCTTTATCATATATAAGGGAATTAGGATAGGGCAAAGAATACATTTGGACTTATGCTGGGAAAACAAAACACAAAAAACATCAACAAGGGAGGCCAAGGTGAGTTAAATGAGGTGAGGTATCATCAAAGGTTATCAGGGTAACTCCAGAGAGAAGACTAGATATGAACCAGAAGAAATAAAGATTTAGAGTCATGGAGATGATCTAGTTAAACGGTCCGTGATAACTGGAATGGTCTGTCTGGAATGTTTCAGTAATAGAATGCTGAATTAGGATGGCTGTGAAATAGAACAGAAGATGGTGTCTAAGGAGCTGATATACAGTCTGAAAGTAGGAACTCTAAAGCTCACAGCAATATGATTTCCAGAGTTACAAGAATGTTTGGTGTGCCCTGAGGCCCTGGGTTTGATCCCTAGTACTCATAGGGGAAAAACAACAAATCACTAATGAAGTCCTGAAGTCAATGTGTTAGCCTAGAGTGCTCAAGGGTAAGAGAACTTCAATGGTCTTCAGAGAATCTGCTTTCTCTACTGCTGTCCCCTGAAACCTTCTCCAGGATCCATTCTAATTTACAGTATTCACAGATGAACAATGTTTATACATCCAATTAGAAAAGGGGTCCATAGAAAGAAAAATGGAGTGCGTTCCAGTACCCTTTGCATACTTGATTAGCTATTATACCCTGACTAGTCTAAAGACTGAACTCACTCCTCTACTCCTCTGTGACTGACCCAAAGCAGCGTAGCTCTGATGTCTTCCTGGTACCTTGCACTTTTGCAGGGGCTTTCAAGTGACTGTTGATTGACATTCTTATACATAGGCAGGTGTCTTAAACACAACTGACCTATCTGGGTTATCACAGTCAGTTCTTCATTTAAAGAAGAGCTCTCTTCTATCTTTGGGTCAATCTGGCTCTTTATTTTAGAACATTTTCTTGGTCATAGTAACTCCCGAGGCAAGCTTTCAGAATAAAATGTACCTCAATTAATTGTAATTAAATGATAGTTATGTCATAGATTGGAAGAAAATAAAGAGAAACAACATATGTGCAATACTGAATTAGATCCTAGAATAAAAAAACAAGAGCAATGGAAAAACTGGTGAAATTTGAATAAACCACTAGTTTACTTAAAAAGCCAAAACAGAATGAAATAAAAAACCCCAAATAAATGGTTGGTGTGGACTTGAAAGAATAGGGGGCAATTATACAAATTCTGTCAAGAACTATGTGGACATGACTGATACTGTGTTTCTCACCCTCAGAGAATTCAGAGGATTAAGAGAAATGTGTTTAAGTAGATTAAAAGAAACAATGTGTTGAAGTAGGTACTCCATTTAGAAACAATGTATAAGTACTCTATTGAGTAGAGCCCACATAGCTACTAGACAGTAACTTAGTTTTTAATATATCAAGTAGGGAAAATATATAATATTTTATAATTTCTAATATATAAACTAGTGTCATCAGGGTAACTGTTTTTAGGACACCTAAAGACCACTTATTTCGTGAAGCTTTCTCAACTTCTAGGCTGGCAATAAAAGAAAGGTTTAAAAACCAGCAGTCCTTTACCTAAGCGGATGAGATGGTACCAAGGCCACGCCTCAGCGATGGCCAAAATGGATGAAAGCGGAATGTGAAGGTGTATGGAGGATCTGGGTCCAGATATGATGGTAATCCATAGTGAGGCAATGATAGTACATGATTCCTTAGCTGAGTGTCAACAGATGGAGAAACATGCCCCAAAGCACTGAAATGGGAGATTTTCTTAGAAATTGCATAGGATGCAGTGAAGAACCCAGGAAAACTCAGAAAAAGTTAAGGGTAGAAAAAAAATAACCTGAGGTGAGGTTAAATACCAATGAGGACAACAGGGCAGTCTCTAGTCACCTGAATAAAGGAGAGCTATGAGTTGATTCACATAGGAGAGATGTATGTCTTAGTATTGAAGAAATGAAAAAAAAAAGTGATTTGTTAAGGTGAAAAGTGAGATCATAAGCTTATTCACTGTGACCCCATTAACATTAAAAGGTAAAAGATTTATGCACTATGAAGAAAAATCAAATACAACTGTTCATTTTTATAGTGCTAGAGCACAAACCCAGGGCCTTACACTATGCTCCTCCTCAGCTAATTAGTAGAAGACAGTAACGTGGGGGACAGGGTAGGAGCTAGTAGCTGCTAAGTACTGTGTTGTATTATTTTCTCTAACTGTGACAACAAACTTAAACATATCAAGTTAAGGCTGGAGAGACTTAGTTTGGTCCACTACTTTGTGCTATAGTTCACTAGCACCATTGCTTTGTGCCTGAGGTAAAAAGCAACCATGTCAGGAAACAAGTGGTAGAGCAATGAAATTCACTTCAAGGTGGACAGGATGAAGATTTCTTTCCAAAGCAATGATATACGTGACCCATTTTCCCCAGACAGCATCTCCTAATATCCATGCCGCTGTGAACTTATCAATCCATTGATAAAGGCAGTTTGAGCCCTCATAATCCAATCACCCCCAAACAGTCCATCAGCTAGCTGGTAATTAAGCTCTTTACACAGGAGCTTTCTGGGGACATTTAAAAATGCTAGCCATAACTGGTACCTTTTGTTCAGAAACAACACATAAAACTCAATGAATCTTGAAAAATAATTCCAAGACTGTTCTTATTAATCTCATTTAGCAGCTAATACAGTTGAGGTTATGCAAGCATTACTCATGACCTGCCTAAATCCCAAAGATACCTGAAGTCAGAGCAGGAAGGAGAGCTCCAGTAACCCAGGCCTTAATGGGCTATGTGTGTGGATCAGAGGGAAAGGTCTTAAGAAGGGAAAACTGGGGCTGGAGAAATGGCTCAGAGATTAAGACACTGGCTCTTTTTCCAAAAGTCCTTCATTTCCCAGTAACAACATGGTAGCTTATCAACCATCTAGATCTTCTGGCATGCAGGCATAATACCGCATAAATAATAAATAAATAAATCTAAAAAAAAAAAAAAAAAAGGAAACCTGTCATCACTAGAAAGAATATGGTAGAAGAATCATGAACAATTACTACAGCATGAAACTTAGAATAGCTTTTATGGAGACGACTTGCAGTGTGTTATATATCATTGAGGCAATTGGGATCTCCCAATAAAAATCTCAAGGATATAGCACTGATGCAAAACTTCATTTAATTTTTGGATACCAAAGGCATTGATTCATATATACATTTTATTATTATTATTTTTTGATATATTCTTGTTCTATAACCCAGCATGACATTAATCTCAAGAGCTTCATGGCAAAGCCTTGTAAGTGATTGTGAGGCGCTATGTCCTGCCTGACTAAAAACTTTAAATGCTTCTTCCCCCAAGTAAATCAATGCATCCTTCTAAGGTATACAAACAGTGACTTCTGTTGTGCTCCAAAGTCACGCAACCATTACTGCCGGGAGCCAAAGCTATCTACTGAAGCCAAAGCCAAACACTGAGCAAAGGTCATTTAGTGGAGACCTAAAGCTATTTAGTGAAAGAGTTACCTAAGACCCTAAATCATGGGTGACAGATTGTGAGGACATCCTTCTGTTAGTTTTAGAGCATCCATGAGACAGTTTAAGAAAACATCCTTATGGTATCTTGCAGGTGCAATATTTAACCCATGAAAGCACTCTTCCTATCTCCTCTAGCAGTAAATTAACCTTCCCCCTTTCCTGCCTTCTCCCTATATAAGTTGGGTAAAAATTTTTAATAAACGAGGCTTTGATCAGACAAACAGAATTGGCCTTCATTTCTCGCGCTTCTCGTCCCTTCCCCCCATTCCACCCATCCTCCCTACTTTAGGAACCCCATTGAAGTCCCGCGGGTCGGGGCACATTACCACTGTTTCATACCTGTCAGCTGGCACTATCACCCCAATTTCAGTTCTACTAAAGTTTAAACCTGACTGCCTAGAAAGCTTTACAAAAAGCACCTCCTTCCATACCTTAGTGACTTCTGCGGTTACCTTGAGGATTCAGTGTTTCCTCATATGGAGTTATGTTGCAGGATATTTGATCACATCGTGAATCCCAGGGTTGAGAACTGGAAATAACCCTATTTCTTGTTGTGGTGTGGCCTTTAACTCTTTGTAAACAAGAGCTAAATAAAGCCATATAGGTCAAGAGGTGAAGCAAGCAACCAGAAGACAGGGAGCAACCAGTTGACAGGGAGGGCCATTAATTAAGTTGAAGGGCATTTAAGACAGCATGGAGAAGGGTCTTTTTCCTTCTAGGGCGTCGTTGAGTAGGAAGGTCAGCTGGGTGCTTTCTCTGCCTCCTCTCTGCTAACAGGTTTTCACCCCAGCATCTGGCTCCCGAGTCAGAGATTTTGTTTTATAGACAACGGGGTTAGAGGCTAAAAACCACGTTTCGGTAAAAGCCTGTGTAAGTGATAGTGATTGCCAAGTGTAATGCCTGTCCTGTGATATAGTATCCCAACAGTGCCTGGACCCAGCTCTGAATGTGTGTGAGAGTGTGTGTATGTGTGTATGAGGTGACAATCAAGTGGAGAAGCTGGAGACAAAAAAAACCAAAAAAACAAAACAAAAAAAAAACCCTAATAAAATCTTTTGCTAACTGATATTTCAATTTCTTTAGCATGTTTGATAATAAAGACTTTAACTTTTTTCAGCCTTAAAACAAACAAACAAACAAACAAAAAACCAAAGGACTCCACTTTATGTTATATATAAACGAAAAGCAATGAAACCCAATTACATATACCATAGGAGGGTCATAAAGAAATTATAGATTCATCATTTGAGGAGAAATGCTGGTTCAACCTCATATTTCCCCAACTGAGATTTCTTTATGTTTATTTTAACCGAAGCTGGCCATAATAAGTTTGAGTAGTATTCAAGAATGTTATTAAACGTCCTTGGGAATGGCAATATAGCCTGTGAATGTGAATTTTTTTTGAAGGAGAGTGATCATCAGAATATCCTAGCAACCAAGACAGGAAGCAACATGAAGATGGAGGCAGATAAGAGGCACATCGTATATTCCCCGTCACCAGAGGCAGCCAGTGCAAATGTCTGTGGACGTTCTTCCAGCTTTTAATCTATGCCATTGCAGGAGGGTGTGGGAGAAGCCTACATAAGCATCTCTTAGCAGCTATGGAGGGAGTTTCCCCTCCCTCCCAGGGCTGTTCTAACTTCCTTTCACTTACATCTTATAGATGTGATGACATCTGTGAGGACTCTGGTTCAAACCACTTCTCAGAAACAACATGTGGCTGAAAGTTTAGCTTGCTGTCCCTGACAGTCTGCTCTCCATCTTTACCCACTGCACTTCAGAACTGTGAAAGCCAATCTCCTAGAAAGAAGAATGAAGCTCTTACACAACTATAGCTTCTACTGCATCTGCTTCTCCAGATGGACCTTGAATAAAGCACATGGGTGACATTCTTGACTACTGCTCAACAAAGTAGTGCCCAGTCCTCTAGGATGTTGCATTGTTTCAGGTGACATGAATTAATTTAATGAAGAATAGTCAATATCCTGAGCCATCTCTCCAGTCCCAAACACCACAGGTTCTTAAGACATTTCCAGTCACCAGGAAGGAATTATCTATTCAAATGTTAGTTTGGAGGACAAAAAATTCTTAGCAGGAGCCAACTACAGACACTCCCTTCTCCTGAAGAATCCTGGCCCATTTGAATATTTTGAAATACTTTACCTCTGACACTGTATAAAGAACACAGAATGTCTGCTGTTGTGGTTAACTGGAGGTAATGGAGTACATGACCATGACCTGTCTCTGCATGCCCTTCATAACTTATTGTATTTATAGTAGACTACAAAATGGACAACCACTTACATTTGCTGAAACTCAAAATATAGGCATTTTTATTTTTTGTGAAATAAAATTACCAATCATATAAGTGAGGACTACGCCTACAAAATAATGGTTTAAAGGAACTTGCAGAATTGTTACCATATTTTTTTTTTCTAATTCTTTTCTTTTTTTTTCAAGTGTATGAGTGCTCTGTCTACATATATACCTATATGCCAAAAGGCATCAGATGCCTTTATAGATGGTTGTGAGTTACCATGTGGTTGCTGGGAATTGAACTCAGGACTTCTGGAAGAACAGTTGGTGCTCTTAACCACTGAGCCATCTTACCAGGACGCCCCCACTCCATTTTTTTCTAATTCTTAAGATGATAAGTTGCCACAAGGTAATAACTGCCCCCTCAGTTTCTCTTGCCTCTTTGTGATATTATGATATTCAGTTAGGTAGTGTGCCTGAGTGGTCTAAGTTGGTAGATTAAGGCTCTAGTCTCCAGGGTGTCGGGGTGAATTCTGATGGTGTCAACTTGTTTGGATAGTGAGTCATTTATTAGGGATTGGGGAAATAACAATAAATATCAGCGATCCAAAGTGTGAGTTTGATCCCCAGCACCTGGTTAAAAAAAGCAAGGTTGGCTTGGTCATATGCACTTGTAGTACCACCAGTGGACCAGCAGACACAGAAGGATTCTTGGATCTTACTGGTCAGCTAGCCTAGCCTAATAGCCCGGGATCCCACTGAGAAACCCTGTCTCAAGAAAATGAAGTGGACAGATCCTTAGGGAGGACAAGGAAGGGAAATGTTCAACTCTGTATGCATGGCTGCACAGATGTGCACCTGCTCACATACTCATGCATGTACACACGCACACGCGCGCACACACGATAGATAGAAATGCTCATCAGCTTTTATACTTCCTCTTGCTATCATGTACTGATTTGTGCTCTGGGAAAAAGATCACAGTTTTCTTGGGGTGAACTCAGCACTTACTTGAGTTCTCTACTGAGAACTATATTAATTCTGTCCTTTAAAGGTCGATTCTTCTCAGGAATGGAGAACCAGGTTTTTCTACCCATTATCACCAGATTCTGTTTACCTATAAAAATCAAGCAGAAAGGATATCTTTGAAAACACACACATATTTTCAGTGACACACACAGGCAGTGACATCACAGTGACATCTAGTGGGTATCCTTTCGAAAAATTAAAACAAACAGCTTTACCCAAAATTCAGACTTAGTACTCATTAACTAAATACGGCACTTTTGGTTTATCCAATTTATGTCTTTTATTTAGGTTTTAATCAGATCCATACATGCATTATTTCAGTTCAACGTGCTCAGGTTGACTGGATTTATCATCCACTAAACAGCTCTCTCTATAACTCTAAAATGGAGAATAGTTCCTACTCTTAGAATTCGTGAGATCAAAGAACCAGAACATGTGTGCACCACCTGGAACTACTGTACTCTCGGTTATTTATACCCAATACCTATATTCAAAATCATCTATGCCTATCTATATCCCAAGTCAGGGACCATTCTGGAAGAACATAAGGGCTGGAAGAGGGGGCATTGAGATGTGAAAGGCTGACTTCTGGCCATGGCATGGCTGATGCATGTCTGCACTCACACACAGCAGCTCTGATTACCTGCACAGCATCAAGCCAGCCACAATTCTAGCATGGGGGAGGGGCTCTTAAGGCCCCACCCATACTGGATAGCTATTGGTAGCTGATGGCTGCTGAGAGAAGAGGAGTCATGATTTTGTCTGAGCTGACTGTAGATTGCTGATGGCCCAGTCAATGGTCATACAAGGGGTTATTAATAACAAGTAGAACATGAATTCGGGAGGAATAAGGTGGCACAAGGAGGAGTGAGAAGGTAAATGGAGACAATCAACATACTCTGCATAAATATATAAAACTTTTGAGGACTAAAAAATACATTTAAAAAGCCCTGTTATGAAGACTTTATACATACAGCTTCCATCTTTTATTTAATTATTTGGGGAAAAAGCCTTGAGTTTCAGAATCTGGATCAAAGAAACAGCAACAATTACCATGTTATATTTACAGTTCTTTAAAACAAATGATTTGGAGTGGCTAGAGAGACAGTTTAGCTGTTAATCACAGTAGAGGACTTGTTATTCTCACCACCTACAACCAGAGGCTTCCAACTGCTTTTTCCTCCAGCTCTAGGGCGCTGACACCCTCCTCTGGCCTCTGTGGGGACCAGGCACACATATTTTGTACATACAGGTATACAGGCATTCTCACAACACACATAAAAATAAAAACATCTTGAAAAAAATTACTATTATAATTTTGTGCATATTGTGTACCCATATGCACAGGCAAGGCCAGGCTGTTAAGTTGGGTGTCTTTACCTTACTTTCTTGAGAGAAGATTTCTCATTGACCCTGGAGCCCACAAATTTGGCTAGAGAATGCTCTCCAAGGATCTTTCTGTCTCTGCCTCCCTAATGCTGGTATTACAGATGTGTGCAACTGCATCCAGCTTTTTATTTGGGTGCTGGGATTTGAACTTAGGACCTCAGAACTTTACTGACTGAGCCATTTCCCCAGTCTTGATATTTAGGTTTGTGAGAGTGTACTGCTAGGATGGAGACTGCGAACTTGCCTACCAGGGACCTACTAATGTCCTACATCTGCTGACTTCCGATCCCGAGCCAGCTCTGTCACCCCTTTCCTACTACCGTAAGCAGGCAGGTCTGTTCGGGGAAATTACACTGAATTCTTACAAGCAACCGGAAACTGCCTTATTATTATTGCACACCACTCGCCATCCCTTTATTTCAAGTCAGTCACTCAGGCTGCTCCACTGAAGACCGCAGCCTTCATCCCTCCATGCCTGCCTGCTTCCAGAAATGCGACCGAGGATCATCATATCACACTTTTAAAATTTGTTTAGCCTCTTCTCCCCTGCATTCCTCTCCATTCACTCAAGTCTTACATCTTCCAGCAACCATTCTAACTACGGCTCTGATCTCTATTCAAAGCGCTGAATTTTGCTGCCGATTCTGCTATTATACTCTAGTCATATGAACTTGCTAACAAAATTTCAAATATATGTATTTTTAAAGGATGTTTAATAAGCTTTGGGAATCGCACAAAAATTGTTGCCAAGAAACAAAGATCCCAGATTCCCACAGGAGACCTCCCACTTACATGTCTACACTGGAAATCTTTCTTAAAAACCCCACTTACCTTCCACTGAAGAGGTTGTGGTCATTCTTTGGAAGTACTTGAACTCATTCCTGAAAGTTAGGAAACACCGAGTTTAAGTCATGTGCGCTCAGGCTCCAGTACGGCCAGCGCAAACCTGGGGGTGGAGGGGCGAGTTAGTGCCGCCCAGTGACCGGACTTCGCTCCGGCCAGGGCGCCTCTGGGCAAAGGCCGGTACAGCAGAGGGTCACCGCGGGCACAGGCAGCTTGGCCTCAGCAGGGACTACGGCTCACTCATGTCCCCTAAGCCGGCCTGCGCGTCTCTGCCAAGCGCCCGACGCTACTCCACAGAGCCGCCAGGGTTTCCCGATCCCAGCCCAGCCAGTACCTGAGCGGAGGCCAGGGCAGGTCTCCGTTCTTGCCGATGCCCATATTCTGGGACACGGCGACGATGCAGTTCAGCGGCCGAACCATGACGGCGGCAGCGATCGCCTGCTCCGCGGCCCGCACGCTGAGTCCCCTCAAGTTTGGCGCGAAATCGCAGCCGCCGGGACCAGCGTACCGCTTGTGCAGCAGAGGCCCCGCCTCCACCGGGCCCCGCCCCCACCCTATTTGCGCGGCAGGGGCCCCGCCCTTCCCCGCCCGCCCCGCCCAGGCCGCTGTGTGCGCGCGCGTGCGCGCAGGCGCGGGGAAGTGCGGCGGAGCGCTCGCGCTCCAGCGGGCCGCCCCTTCCGCACCCCGCTATGCCCCGCACGAAATCCGCGCCGGGAGACGCTAATGCCGCCGGCGCAGCCCCGGGGAGGCAAGCGGTTCTGAGTCGGTTCTTCAGGTCTGCGGGAAGCCTGAGATCCACTCCGTCGCCCACGGAGCAGGTAGAGCACTGCTCCACAGCGCCCCCAGCGTCGACTGTCCTGCCTTCGCGGAGGCCCTCGGGGCACGCGTTCTGCCGCCACGGGGCGGAGCCAAGTGGTGGGGCGGGGCCAGACGGCCGGGGCGGGGCCAGGATGGGCGGGCGTGAAGGTGTCGCGGCCGGAAGCGGAGGCTCTCAGCCTCCCTAGAAGAGGCGGAGCTGGGGAAGGAGAAGGTGTTGGTTGAAAGACTTTATAGCCGGATTCGAAGTAACAGCTTTGAGGTCTTGGTGCCTGCAGTCGTTAGCCGGAACCAGAGGCGGAAACTTCTGTTTTGGTGAATAGCTAGGGCTGGCAGGTCCAGGATGCGTCTTTTAACCTTTTTCTTTTCTTTACTTTTTCCCTACTAGATTGATGGTTGAACAGCTTTATTTATATATGCTTGCCTGGCAGGCTAGAAGAAAGCTGCCTTGAAGGCTAGTTTCTCAGAATTCAAAAGCATTGCTCTGTATTTCAGATTACTGTTTCAGAGTACTGTTGTATTGTGCACCTTCCCAATGTAAGCATTTGGGTGGATGAAATTTCTGTAGATGCTTGTCGTTGGCTACTTTCTGTTGCTTGCAACCCTTCAACTAATTCCAACAAAGCAAAGCAAAACAAAACCAAAAGCCCATAGTGATACTGCTACAAACCCAGGTTTCTAGGGTTCCATTGTATTTCCCACACAAGCTGGAGATATGTCATGCTTGCCCAGGGTGTGTTAAGGATTGTGCCCTGTGATTATAACTGGCTTTAGCCATCTGCCGTGTTTTAATGCAGGTGCAAATCGGCTTAAGAATCTTAACCCCTTTAATTTATATTTCTTCCCTATCCTGATTGATGTTCTCTTTGCTTTCTTTATGAGGACGAATCACACCACTGAAAGAATATTGGCCAAAAGTTTTAAGTTTTTTTCAGATTACCTGCCAACAAATAGCCGTAGGACATCTAATAGTGGATGTAAGCTTTGAAACAGGAAATACATTGTTTATTATTTCCTCTACCACCATAACTTTGGATTTTGAAAATATATATATATTTTTTGTTTATCTTTTCGAGGTGTTTTTATTTAACATATGTGAGTAGGAAAGGCAGAGCACCGCTTAATAACAGCAGGATGTGAGGTGAAAAGAGACTACACCTGCCAATTTCTTTCTCTGGTGGCAAAAACATCACTCCAAAAGGCTTTCCACAGTAAAAGTACACCAATTTTACTTGAAGAGTGGAAGACAAGGAGCTTCCTGTCATTCTGAAGCAAGGGTAAGTGACTTCAGAGACTTTAGGCCTTAGGATAGTGTTGATGCTATTTCCCGATAACAGGTGACAGAAGGTGATGGCAGGAAGAGACCGCTGGGGAATGAAGGGCCCATTAAGAAGAAAGCAAAGAAAGTTCCAGAGAAGGAAGGAGAAAATACCTCAGTAACATCTGGCAACCTTGGTAAGAATTACTTTCTCAGTAGCTGGTGTTCCAGGAAGGAGGAGTTGACCATTGGAGCATTGAGTCTTTCTTTCCCAGTGTGGGGAAGGATTCCTGCTGTGCCTGAGCTGGTGTTTGGGAGGCTAAGGCCACAGTGGAGCTCAAGTCTCTTAATTTGGCTGTAGTTCTCCCAACTTTCTCTTTGTTCACATTCACTTTATTTTTTAAAAGTGTGTGTGTGTGTGTGTGTGTGTGTGTGTGTGTGTGTGTGTGTGAGTGTATGACTGTAGATTCGTGCAGAGGCATGAGGTGTGGAATCCTTCTGGGGCTGGAGTCACAGGTGGTTATAAGCCATCTGATATGGTTGCCAGGAATTGAACTTAGGTTCTCTGATGGCAGAGCAATGTGTGCGCTTAACCACTGACCCATCTCTCCAGCTCCATTAGTTGTCTTAAATCTTGGTTATGAAAATGAAACATTTGCTAATGATTTATTTATTATTTATTTGTGTGTGCACGTGTCATTGTACATAGCAGAAGAAGTCAGAGGACACTTTGCAGGAATTATTGTCTTCTTCCATTGTGTGGATTCTGGCGCTGAACTCAGGTTATAAGGCTTATCGGCAAGCACCCTTACCCAGGGAGCCATCCTATAGATGAAGCCTTCTTGTTATCCATCTCCAGTCATCCATTTACAAGTTCTCTTTTTATACCTGGGGTACAGAACAGAAGGGAAGTCTTAACAGTCACAGAGAAGCCTATATGTATATTTGGGGAAAAGAGGGAGGGAGGGTAAATGTACACCGGAATAGTTATTTAAAATATATTTTTAGAATAAGATAAATCACACCAAATACAGTAAATTATATTTGGAAAAAAATCGGAAATTTATAAGAAAGAGTTTTGTTTTTTTCCCCCCCAAACATTCTGAGTCATCGGCAGGGGATATAGCTTTGTTAGTAGAGTTTGTCTAGCATCCATGAAGACCTGGGTTTGCATAAACTGAGTGTGATGGGACATACCTGTAATTCCAACACTCAGAAAGTAGAGATCAGGAGTTCAGGGTCATCCTCAGCAACATAGTGAGTTCAGACACAGTCTGGCTATTTGAGAGGCAGGCTACTTGAGGTCTTGTCTCAAAAACATAAAACAAACAAGCCTATAGACAGGTATCTTAGTCATTGTTATTTAGATCATGTATTGGAGGTTATTGGTTTATTTATAGAGTATGGAGGGGCAATTTAAGATTTCATTTTCTTATACATTTCTGGGCCTTAGCCTAGTTTTCAAGTTGTTTTTTTTTGTCTTGGCTTGTTGAGTTTTTTGTCCTCCTAAAATTTAGAAAACTCTCTTGTCTAGTCATTTCTCAAATACTTTTTGTGTGCTCCTCCTCATCCCTCTTAGAGTTTCTTAGAGTATTGCAGTTGACTGACCCTCAAATCACTGAAGCTTTCATTTGTTTTCAGACTTACTCATCTTTAAGTGTCATTTTGGATAGGTTCGGTAGCCCTGTTTCCTACTTCAGTGATCTTTCTTCCATAGTGTTCACATTGCTCCAAGTCTCAGGGAAATGTTCACTTCAGGCTTTTCTACAGGTGCTATCCAGAAGTTTTATTTTTTGAGTAGTTTTTTAAAATCTCTCTCTTTCTCTCTCACACACAGACACACATACATATACATACCTTACTGATATTGTTAATAGATAAGCTATTTAACCTTTGCTCATATACTGGAAAGACTCAAGCAGACATTTTCCCAGCTGTGAGGCTCATATGAGACATGATAAACTTTATGCCCTCAGAGCTTTTATGAAGCCTGAACACAGATTAGCAAAACCCAACTCTTGCCTTCTGTGCTTTTGCTTTAACAAGGAAGGTAAAGACAGGTGACATGGGCAACCCCAGTTTCCTCGTACTTAGCAGCAGCTGCCCGATAGTATTGCTAAGGGATGAAATTCTGTCTCCTAACACATAGCAGACCACAGTAAATGTCATGTCCCTTTTCATACTGATTGCTTGCTCGTTAATACCGGGTAATGAGTAACTGCTTAAAGTCACTGCTTATAATGGTGAAAGGTGTTGGAGAGAGTTCTGGTCTTGTAGGAACACAGAGAAAGAAAGAGACTATTAAGATGGAGACTAAGCCCAGGGTTTCATGAAAAAGGTAACTTTGGGATGGGACTTGAAGAAAGAGTGCAGTTTTGATGTGGCATGGGAGAACTTGAGAGATGAGGAAGTAAGTGTGTCTGAGCTGTTAATATTGCCTAGCCCAGAGTCTCCTGTCTTAGAGGAGGACTCTGGCTACCTAGGTCTTGCTGAGGCCAAGGTCTCAGCATTCAGGCAGCTTTGGCTCCCGTCATTTTCCTGGAGAGTTTATGGCTAGAAATACTGCTTATCACATCTTTCTAGAGAAACCTCTAGTCTGCTGAATGGGAGAAGGGTCCTCAGAGCTTAAAGACTGGGAAGAATGTAGCATCAGATCAATTCACTTTGAATCTTTCCAGACTCCATGGTGCCCAATTTCTGAGTCTCAAGCATTTTGTGTTGCAAATAGAAATGGTTCTTGTATGAATCTTGTGTGTGAATTAGTGACTGTATGTCAGTTCCCTGTCTAACTTCAGATAATGTGAGTGGCAGCTGTCACTGCCCCTGTCCCATCTGTCATTATGCCCAAAGAAACAGAAGCAAAATTCCACGATAGTCCTGTTTTTGAAAATTAAAATTGCATTGTTTGATTTATGGGTGTGTGTCTGTGTTAATGCATGGAGTGCATATGTGTGGAGGACAGCTGAAGGAGTCCTCTTCCACCTTGCTCTATCTGGGCATTAAACTTAGCTCATCACCTTGGCAGCAAGCACCATTCCTGCTGAGCTGTCTTGCCAGCCCCTTTTACTGTAGTTCTCAATGGATTTCATCAGCGAATGAAATTATATGTATGTTTAAATGTGTCCTCATTACCTTGGTCTTTTTTTTTTTTTTTTATCACATTATAGGTAAGTTTATTGTACCAATGGAAATGTCCTGAAAAATTCCATGTACGTTAAGAATTGACATAATGAAGCCAAAATACTATTGGTATGTTTTCTTCTTATTTCCCAAGAGGCAAAGAAATGTCTGAGGCCCAGGATTGTTTTAAAGTCCCTGGAAAAGTTGAAAGAATTCTGCTGTGATTCGGCCCTCCCTCAAAATAGAGTCCAGACAGAACCTCTTCGGGAGAGACTCGCAGTTCTGCCAAAATGTACTGATTTTGAAGACATCACTCTGCAACATGAAAAGAATGCAGTTTTGTCTGAAGATTCCAAATCTCA